AAGTTGGTGGAAAGCGGCCGAAAATGGCCCTAATGACAAGATCTTCAGATAGAATACTTATTGGCCAAAATTAAAGTTATGGATTGTCTTGTAGAGTTTTTTTAAGTTGGACCTTAAGTAACGGGCTTTACTAGGCTTTCTTGGATCTTTTGACCTGTAGGCTTGAATATAACTTGGATTGACATGAGAATTTGACCATCCATTTAGAACATCAAATCAAGTCAGCAGGACCGGTCCTGCGAGTGCTCTCAATAATCAGTGGGTGCAAATAGTAATTGATTATCCTTTTGTAAATAACACCTTTCTAGCATCAATCATTGGCTTTTTACAGGTTTTAGCCCAATATTCAACATTTGGTTCCAGAAAACTACATAAATCATAAGAAATATCTAATTAGTAGATATTATAATGATACATGCTAAGTTCTAGACAAACAATGTGTTATTAAGGGGATAAATATACACTTTTGAGGACTTATCAACTTGTCCTCAAGCAAAGGTGAGAAAAAGAAATAAGGACTCAAAAGAAACTAAGGTCCGGTTCGACAAAGTGTCTGAAACGCATTTCTTAATCTTCAAAATTAGAAGAGGAGAAAGTTTGTTTGGTTAACACAAAACAAATTTAGAAAGTAATTTTTAGTAATTCAAATAATACCATTTCTTTTAAGTATTCTAAATTAGCTTTTCCTTTCGTCTTTCATCTTCCATCTTTCTTAAAAAACCTCATTCACAGAAATCCATTTTTCATTTCTGCAATGTTGTCGAACGGCCCCTAAAACTTTGGTACAAGGATTCAAACCATGTACAAGGACTTCGTAATTGGAGGAGTTATAGTCTCTTGAGGGTTTTCCATATAAGATACCCACAAACTACTACAATGACTAATCCAAAAGACATAATGCTCTCCAATTTTTCCTCTGAAATGGTTTTTATCCAAATAGTCTATCGATGATAATGGTAAGTATTGCAAAACCATTCATATGAAGTAACTTACTACCAATGCATGAAAATAAGCATAACAATTCTATATGCATTAAAAGCAGGTGTGTTTCTGTAAACAATTACAAACCCTAAATCACTGTCACAAAAGTTGTTTTGACTCATTCCTTACCATACATACACTACTCAGAAATAAAAATCTATTTGAGATGGGGTTTATCATTTCAACTCTAGGTGAGGAACGAAGATGGACAGACATTTTACATATATATATCAAGTACGAACAATTGTATTGGAATGATTACTTAGTCTAAAAGTATGGTTTTCATCCAGATAAGATACCCACAAACTTACTACAACGACTTATCCAAAAGATGGAATGCTCTCCAATTTTAATTTTCTCAGAAATGGTTTTCATCTAAATAGTTTATTAATGATAAGGGTAATTATTGCAAAACATATGAAGTAACTTACTACCAATTCATGAAAATAAGCATAATAGTTCTACATGCATACAAAGCAGGTCTGTGTGTGTAAACACCTAAAAACCCTAAGTCACTATCAGAAAGGTTGTTTTGACTTTTTCCTCACTAGACATTCACTCAGAAATAAAAATCACCCAGAGATATGGTGTTCATCATTTTACCTCTACATGATAAAGGAAGATGGGCAAACATCTTACATATATATATCAAGAACGAACAAGTGTAATGGAATGAATTTAGCCTCGAAGAATGGAATGTTAGCCTTGGTTGAGATGTCGGGCAATTCACCTCCCCTTCTCACTTACTCGCCACTTCTTACCATATCAAACGTAGATCTACAAAAGGCATTAAAGTATGTAACTGGGCTTAAGACACTGCTACATATGGAAAAAACTTTCGTGAAATTTTTTTAATTTTTGGGCTTTAAACACTCGTGATTTTGTAATATTAGCACTTAGAGAAAAGTTTTTGTAATTTTTTTTTTGAATTTAAGAACTTTTAATTCTTTGGTATTGGAATTTTCATTTTCTTTTGATTTTTGGATATTTTAGAAAGATTTGTTTTTTTTTCTGAATTTAATCAAACTTTTTGATCTTCAATACTTGGTTTTCTCAACTTGTTTGGATATTTCTTTGTATTTCTCCTTTCTATTTTATAATGACATAAACAATCATTCTAATGTTCCAAAAATGTAGGTAAAAAGACCTAAATATTGTAAGTGTACTAATTCCAACAATGGAGTTGGGTAAAGATGATGGGCGAATGAAAAAGGCCAAGTAACATGAAAGGCTCAAAATGGTTAACCTAATGGATAATGTAGCACCAAGGTAGGCTAAGGCAAAGCAAGGCTAACTAGATGTCTTTGTATTATTCCCAAATTCTAATATGTTGATCATGTCTTAAAATAAGCTACATAACCCAAGTTTATATTGCACCCACTTGATGTCATCTCAAGGCTAAATGAAAAATGAATGTGAAACTAAACCTAGTCAAAACTAGGAGCTTAAGTCGTTGACTCTGGATTAACATAATAATTCTCCAAGAGAAGGACGTGACTACTGGGTTATGTCCCTACAGTAGTTATTCCTCAAGTTTCTTAAGGTATAACTGTATGTGCTTAAGTGTCTACCATAAATGCAAGTAAAATTCAATGATTATGCTCATGCAAATGTAGTAACATAAATACTAGGTGAAAAAAGACATGTCCTTATCTTCCTTTAGTAACCAAAATGGAATCTAACCATTAGTCATCACTGATATGATACTTATCATGGACTTTGGAAAAGTCATTGTAAAACATTTTTTAAAAGTTTATTTTTTAAAATTTTTTTTTTTTT